AACATTGAAGTTCTCGAATCTACACACATACATATGTAACTATGTGTATGTACGCTTTGGTATTGCTAGAAAAAAAGTAACGCCAAGCATAACTTTGAATGTTGCTGAGGGCATCTTAACACCAACACCAACAACGACACATTCATACATGAATACACTTGTAAATATGTGAACGGATGAATGAATGAATTGAAAAAAAAGTGCAGATGCTGGAAGGAATATTGCCAGCAGCTCGAAAACCCTGCTGGCAATATTCCGCTAGCGACACTTCTGACACCTATGTAAATAGAATAAGGTGAAAAGTGAATGGTGATTTTTCTTTCTCCTTTTTTTCATAATAAATAACATTTTCTCAGGATTTTCATTGTGTCTTAAATGCAATATAAGGTATATCAAATTACTTTCCAATAAAATATATGATTTAAAAACAAGTAAAAAAGCTGTAAGTTCGGCCGGGCGGAACTTTTAATACCCTCCACCATTTGGTACAAATTTGACAAATTTCAAAAAAAAAAAGAATAAAATCCGTTAAAAATTCTGTTAAAATCTTAAAATACATAGGCAACTTTTGTCATAAGTTGTTACAATATTTTAATGCGAAACTTGAAGAAAAATCTGTTTATAATATAGCTAAAATCATCAAAACACCGAATATAGGGGGTACCGTTATATGGGGGCTATACGAAGACGCGGACCTCCACAGACAATTTTCGGGCATGGGCTGAAGTATCCATTACGAACTTCACATGCGAAATTTGAAACAATCCCGGTAAATAATGTCGCTAAAATCATCAAAATACCGAATATCGGGGGGTACGTTACATGGGGGCTATACGAAGACGTGGACCTACATGGCCCATTTTCTGTTTTATGCTGCAGCATCTATTACGAACTTCAAATGCCAACTTTGAAACGATTCCGGTAAATAATGTCGCTAAAATCATCAAAGTACCGAATATCGGGAGGTACCGTTATATGGGGGATATATGATAACTTAGACCTACATGGCCCATTTACGAACTTAACCTGCCTACTGGCAAAATATACATGTGTGCAAAATTTTAGCCTTCTATCTCAATTTGTTCGAAAGATAGCGTGATTACAACAGACAGACAGACAGACAGACAGACAGGACAGACAGGACAGACAGGACAGACAGGACAGACAGGACAGACAGGACAGACAGGACAGACAGGACAGACAGGACAGACAGGACAGACAGGACAGACAGGACAGACAGGACAGACAGGACAGACAGGACAGACAGGACAGACAGGACAGACAGGACAGACAGGACAGACAGGACAGACAGACAGACACACAGACAGACAGACGGACATGACTAAATCGTCTTAGAATTTTACGCTGATCAAGAATATATATACTTTGTTGGGTCTGACATGAGTATTTCGAGGAGTTACAAACGGAATGACAAAATTAATATACCCTCCATAGTATGGTGGAGGGTATAAAAATTGCTTGAATTCTAGGTTATATTTCTTCCGATATTCTTGACAGTTATTCTCCCATGCTGATTTCGATCGTAAGTTCCTAAATCTATTTAATTTAGGCTGGTATTAACCATTTGGTGTATAGTAAATTTGAAATGGAATATATATATATATGAGAGCTAAATCTAAACTGACCTCGATAACATTTGGCAGAGGTATTTCTGAACTGTATTTCATATCTTTTTATGATACACACACACAGATATCGATGCGCTCATTGATTATTCAAGACCACTTGAATGAAGGGAAAAGCAGCCCAGCAATGTTCCTTATTCTATATTGGAATAGATAAGAACAAGTTAAAAAATTGTATCAGTCGGTTTTACCGACAGATGGATACCTCAGCCTTGAGTTATGATTATTCAAACTTCTGACCCTTTATGGGGGAGGTTCCGAAGCAGTTGCCTAATTCGTATCTGACCTACGACTGACAAAAATATTACAACGTGCCAGATTTTGACTATATCGACTACCTCCTGTACTTTATATGAGATATGTGCAAATTTTTGGAAAATGTGGAAATATGCGTGAAGTAATAGATATAGCGGACCGAAGTATTTCATTTTCATACTTCATATAATACACAAATACAGGGTGAGATAAAAAAAATGCAACAAAGTCAAACGCCATAATTTTAATAGAATGAAAGCAAAAAATGCCGAAAAAAGCATCAACATTTAAAATATGTTTAGATTTGTTCGAATTTCTCACCTTTGGCACAAATTATGGCCTTCAAACGGCCAATGAAACTGACACACGGTGCCCAAATGTTGATCTGCGGTATTTTGGCCCATTCATGGCCAAAATTTTTGTCCGCAGCCCAAGGTCTTAATACACACTCCAGAATATTTTCGCGATAATATTCGCCATTTATTCTTATGCCACGGTCAATTAATACGAACGGAGTTCGACCATCGGCTGTTAAGGCGGCCCACGCCATCATCATGGCGGCGATTGAGTTCTGGTGGCCAACCGAAAGATGCACATTTTCAGCTAATCTCTTTGGCAAGTAAACACGATCATTTTGTTTGTTTACAAAGTGCTGGACAACGAATGTTTTCTCATCGAAGCGGAGAAAACCAAATTCGGCAGTTCACCACTTTCGGCCAAGCGAAGCAACTCTTTAGCTCTTTTGAGTCTATTTTCTTTCTGTTGCGGTGTAAGTTCTTGCACTTTTTGGAATTTCAATGGCTTTTTCAATATTTGCCGAATGGAATATTGCGATATGTTCAGTTCATGAGCCATTTTTCGGTCACTGTGATGCGGGTTTCGATCAAGTCGCTTCTTTACTTTTCGAATAATTTCTGTTGATGTTGTTGTTTTCTAATATTGTTTCCATTATTTCCATAAATTATTGAGATGTGCAACGTCGGAATGGAATCCGATGTCACTTTCGTGTTTTATGAGCTTCATGAATATTCAACATTTTGACACTTTGTGGGAGTGTACCAGAAGGAGTGAACCGATATATCCCATCTTCATAGCAGACCTTAGATTAATAAAAACATTCTGATGTGTGTAATTTAAAGACAATCGGGCACTAACATCACATTTTATAAGAGTTATATTTATTAGAAATTGTGACCCGTTGTGGAGGAGGTTCTAGATCATCTGCATCTGCAATGATGTAAATGTTAGGATTTGCAAAATTAGAGCAACATCGGATTGTCCTTTCTATTTCTGTGCAGTAAATTATTTTCTTTATTTACACATTTTGTGTGGGAGGTACTTGATGGAGAGGAGCGATATTGCCCATCTCCGAACTCGATCTAAGTTTGACAATAATATTTCGATGTACCAAGTTTGAATTAAATCGGATACTCGCTTCGAGAGTTAACGTGCGCACTATCTAGACAGACGTACGGACGGTCGGAAGCGCATCGCTAAATCGATTCCAAATGTCCTGAAACGGATTTGGTCCAAAGAGAACCCTATCTTGCCATATGGCTGAGGGTATAGTGAGCGTACGAAAACTACTAGACAGTATTAAATAGCTATAGCTATAGGAAATACTACAAAACTATTATTTGAATTGATAATGTTTGAAGGTTATTTAACAAAATGTTGTCCGTGACTCCGTGGTCCATCCGCTTAATCTACTTATGGCATACTCTTTTCGTTTCCGTTTTGCCCCCTTATGAGCTTCAACATAGACTCACAAAAATGTCTTAAGGCGTTAAATCGCACGATCTGGGCTACAAATTGATCGGTGTCGAACGTAAGCAAAAAAGTTGGATATCATCTCACACATTCACAGTTACATTACGATTCGCAGAATCCTAGAAGAGGTGTTGTCCATTGATGGCACCAGCCCAATAACCGCACCAAACTGTGGTTTTTTATGGATAAATCGATCGCTTTTGCAATTCTTCTGTTTCAGGGACTTCATTGCATTTTCTAAAAACATATATTAATTATGGATTTTTGAAGGTGTTTAAAAGAATTTATGTCCCATAATATTCTATAGAATCCCGAAAATCCTTTATTTTTCCAAGATTTTTTTTACCCAAAACCTTAAACTTTTGGAAAAGTGTCCCCATAAAAATAGCGAAACCTTTCAAACGTTTGTTGGCTTGTAAGAATTTTTACAAGCTTTTCCGATCAATTTCTTAACATTTTTTGTAATATATTATTAAAAATTCTTTGCAATATATCATTACAAAATTTGTAGTATTTTTCAAAATTATTTTTTATAAAAAAATTTTCTTATCGCTTTAAAATACCACTTTAAAAGTTTCCCTAACACATACACACACTACTCCACTAATCGCAAAACACTAGAGCATCAAATTGAAATATCCAATTAATTGAAACCAACATATTTAGCATTTAAATAAAATGGCAATTAAATTTAATGCATCCTTGCCCAAGTTGAGTCAATAGAAAATGGAATTGAAAAGCTAGACAAAAAAATGGCAATTCTCCACCCCGTTTTCTCATTTATCTCGTTCGCGTTAATTGATAATGACATGACGATGATGATTATCACACCAAATTACAAAGACCACAAACTCAAATAAAGGGAATAATATATGCATATGTACGTGTGTGTGTGATGGTGAAAGCATATAGACACACTAAATGGCAAATATGCTTCTCGAAAACATATTGTACAACTGTGTGTGTGTTTAGTTTATTCACATCGCTTAAGAGTGTCTTATTTTATCAAATGTATAGCAATTTTAATGCATAAATTTTAATTTTATAAAGTTTAGTATGGAGAATGACTCATAAGACAGAAACAATGTTTTTATTTTAATTCGTTATTTAAATCGAAATTTGATATCTGGAATGTACCGATTTTTTTTTGTAACCACAAAAAACAATTCTTTGAAGTCATAGTATTTTTTTTGGATTTTTCCCATAAGAAATTATAGCGTATGAGTGATGTTGTTATTTTTACGATCAGTACGACATCACTCATACGACCTCATTACTTACTGCTGTATTCTAAGTTATTATGCCTTTTAGTTTTCTTCACCCACTTACCTGTATCAATTCACTATTTAACAAGTTTAACAGTTCTGAAATAAAAGAAAAAAACTTATATTAACATACAATTTATATGTTCGTTGATATATAATTCCTGGAGACCATTTTATTTTTCCTCTTCCGTTAATGAAAAATACATCTACTCCAATGAGGATATTCGTAGTTTCGGAGAGATTCAAATGTATGGACCTATCTCCAAAGTTTTTTTTTTTTTTGGAAGTAACATGACTGAATAAAATAAATACCGATGAAATTTCGTGTTGAAGTCCTATAGTTCAAAGTAAAGTTATAAGATCTACAATATCCTAGTAAGAAATGTGCATATGGTACATGTAGTGAAATACAATATTTCATGAAGAAATTACAATATTATTCAAACATGTTTTGGTTGGAGTCACAGAAAACCCTAAAATTTGTATTTCAGATTTCATATCATTTAGCATGGGCAAATACTTCATAAGATCTGGAGTTGTCTTTACATGCACGATATTCCAAAACCATACACAGCTTAAATAAGTGGATGCGCTTTGCGAATCAGAAACTTGACGTTCCGGAGCTGTAATTCTGAAATTTGGAATGCAGCTTTGTCTGACGAGGTTAATATGTCTTGCGAGATTCCATATTTAAATTTGTGCTTTTTGGGTACTAAAAAAGTACAATTAGTACAAATTCCAAAGGAGTGTAGCTAGAAATTAAAAATATTTGAGATTAGAGCCAATTCTTATTTAAAGTAGTCCAAAACGTTAAGGTTTATGGGAATTTGTACTAAAATTATTTGAAAAAGTATGAACGATTGCGTATTTATCTATATTAATAAAAGAGTAAAGTGATTGACTGACTGATTAATGACTGACAGAACGATTCATCAACGCCCAGACAAGATGGCTGAAGCTAAAATCTTGAAATTTTGCACGAGGGTCACTCTTGGTCCGAATGGGAATTTTTTTAGACATTCGTACTAGAACGGTACGAAAAGTATTAAAATGGTATTAAATAAGGTTCCCTTTCTATTTGAGGAAACAGTAGAGCTAGAACTCCTAAATTTGGAATGACGGTCACTCCATCAGTGACCGCATGTACCAAAGGGTTTTTAGAAATTCGCTCGACAAGTGTACGAAAAATACAAAAATTTACTACATTTGGTACAATTTCGTACCACATGAACGGTTGGAGCTAAAAGCTTGAAATTTAGAATGGGAATCAAGGTTGAAAAGTAAAGTCAATGTAAGGAGGTAGTTATGGAAGTGTGTATTGATGCATACAAAAAATACTAAATGGTACTAAATTTAGTACAACTTGAATTTGAAAGAACGGATAGAGCTGGAATTCTTAAAAATTATTTTATTAGCAGAGTGTTGGATTGGGATATGGAGGAAGTTTTCGAAAAGCGTACTTATGAGCACGAAAAGTACTAAATGGGACTGAATTTGGTACAATTTCGAATTGGGAAGAGCTGGAATTCTTGATTTTAGAAATAAGATTATCATCGCATTGTCGGATTGAGGACTGTATATAGTTTTGGAAATTCAGACTTATGTGTACTAAATGCTACTAAATTTGATACAGTTTGGATTTGAGTGAACCAATAGAGATGGCATCCTGAAAATTGTAAATTCAATTGCTGTTGGAGTGTAGGGTTAGGATATGTAGGTAGGTTTTGGAAATTTGTACTTAATTTTGCTAAAATTTAAATTTTTGGTGAACCAGTAGAGTTGGAATCCAGAAATTGGGAAATAATATTTATATTGGATTGTATAAGGAAATTGTGGAAATTTGAAATTATGTGTACTAAATGGTACAAAATTTTGTAAAAATTTGAATTTTGGTGAGTCGTTAAAGCTGGTATTCTCAAATTTGAAATAAGAGGCACTGATGGAGTGTAGGATAGATGTACCTCAAGGTTCCAAAAGTTCTAAAATGCTACTAAATTTCTAAAGTTGTACCAGTTGGCATTATCTGAACGGATTGAGCTAAAAACTTAAAATTTGTTATGAGCATCAAGGTTGGAACGGTAGTTTTATACATGAAAGTGGTATTGAAAATGTGTTCTACAAGTGCACGGAAAAACATAATAACACTATTTTGGTACAATGTGTAGGGAATAAAGATACAATTGTGAAATTTGATTACTAAATTATTGATACGTTTGAGATTTGGCGGTGGTCTGGAACTATACTAAATGGTACTAAATTTGGAATTGGGTATAGGGACAGGGCTCAAGTCCTCAAGTTTGATATTGAGGTCCCAGTTGGTATCTCTTTTTGAGATATGTAGATGGTTTTGGAAATGTGTGCTAAAATTGTTCGAAAAGTACTAAGAGATACTAAATTTCGTCTTTGTTGAAGAAATGGAGACAAAATTCTAAAGTTTGATATTAAGATAACTTTTGGTATCAGAAGAGATCGATTTGAAGGTGGGTGTGGAAATGCAATCTATAATTGCTTCAAAAGTACCAAATTGAACTAAATTTGATATTGGGTGAAGGGATAAAGATAAAACGGTGAAAATGGAACGGTTTTGCAAGTGAGTACTAAAATCTTGCAAAAACTACAAAATGTTACTCAATTTGGTATTGAGTGAATGTATAGAACTGGAATTCCGAAATTTTTTATTTAGGTCTCTGTTGGAATCTTGTGGTGGTTTCACCATACTACTACTATAATTATAATACTATAATTGTTTTTTGATATGCCTCCTAAATGTTATAAAATTTGGTATTGTGTGAAGGGGTAGATCTGAAATTCTGAAATTTGATATTGAGGTCATCGTTGGAGTCTAGGGTATACATGTGGAGATGTTGAAATTGTCTTGGAGAGAAAAATTGGATGTGGGTCCATTGTGCATATGGTTTCAGTAATGTCCTCCTAGATAGACTTCAAAATGAACGATTTTGAAGACTTTAGAAAATGTTAACATTTCACAATTATTCTTTACGAAAAAAATATTTTGAGTAACACATTAAGCCTAGAAAGTCTAAATATCTGGTACGATGTGTGATGCTTTAATTAAAATTTTTTAAGCTTCAAAAAATTGTGAATTTTGAGCGTTAAGAAGGCCTAACAAGAACTTTTAAGACTTTTCGCTGACGAAGTGTGCCCTCTTTTTAGTTATGTTCATAAAAATATACACTAAAACAATGAGGCAGCAACGTCCGCGACAGAAAGTTATAAATGAAAATAATTTTTAAGGGTCCCAAACACATTACGTTCTGATTTATATTATTTTTTGGATTATAGATTCACTTTCCAATCAAATCGGTTATAATTTGTTACTAGTAGGAATGGTACGATCTCTACCAACTTTATAATAGAAATATTGGCATAGAGCAACTCTGAATGGAATCGGTTGTTAATTTCGGGTTTTATGGCCTTCATGGATATTCAGAATTTTGAGCCTTTGTATGGAGTAGACCGATAAGTCCCATCTTCACAGCAGATCTTGTGTTTGTAAGAATAATGGGATGCGTGAGATATGAAGAGGATTCTTATTTCGGGTTTTATAAAAACTTTGACTCTTTACGGAGGATGTACAAGATAGAATAGTCCGATCTCCTTCATCTTTATAACAGATCTGGTGTTGATAGAAATATTGAGATGTGCTAAGTCTGAGTGGAATCGGATGTTAATTAATTTAATTGTCATATTGGTTATTAAAAATGTTGACCCTGCGAGGGGAGCTACCGGAAGGAGTGGGAGTGGGTTAACAAAATTTTGTAATGTGTGTAATTTGATTTGATTTGACAATCGGGCTGTTACATCACATTTTGTATGAGTTAAAATTATTCAAAACTTTGACCCTTTGGGAGGGGGCGTATGGTATGTGATGGAGTGGACCAATATTGTCCATTTTCACACCTAACGTACCACTGATGGAAATATTGGGATTAGCAAAGTTAGAGCAAAATCAGATGATTCTTTTTCTTTCTGTGCAGTAAAATATTTGTATGACCTTTTGTGGGGGGAATTACAAGAAGGAGTGAACCGATATTGCCCATCTTCGAACCCGATCTAAGTTTGACAATGATAAGTTTGGACAGAATCGGATACTCCCTTCGTTAGTTAATAAACGTACACACCAGCCAGCCAGTCAGACGGACGGACTGACATCGCTAGATCGACCCCAAATTTCCTGAAAAGGATTTGATCGAAAGAGACCTTGGGTCTTAAACCGTTACTTCTATGAGGCACATTTTGACCGTAATACCCTCTCTAGCCATGTGGCTGAGGGTATAACAATTTTTGTCAAACTGAACAAATAGTGCATTTAGACCCAAAATTTTCGGCGAAGTTAATGAAAACAATTTTTGGAGATCAGACCAAACGAAATTAATGTTTTTTTTTTTTTTTTTTTTGTATCACTGAATTATTAATGAAACTCCTTATCAAGTGTCTCGATAGATAACTTAATAAATCCTACGAATGTCCTGGGCGCGAAAGACTTTGTACAAGTATTCCCTAGGGTACACCGTTGCAAAGAATATCCCTCTTCACAAATATTTTTACACAACACATTTCATGTCAGTGGCCTCGTAGTTTCCCTACTGCCTCGCACGTTAAGACTACAATCTCTGTTTTTCTAATTTTCAGCTACCTTAAATTTCGTTTAATGTTTCAAATTGTTATCCAAAACTGAGCTAAAAATAAATGCGCTTGAAATTGTTTCGAAAAGTTGTTTAAATGTTATTACACTTTAAACTTTCGAGTTGATAAAAATGAAATGTTGGAACAATTTTTGGTAACTTAATTAGACGAGACGTTCCTAATCCCTGGTTCACTTTCACCGGTAAATAGTTTCGCTTTTAAAGAACTTTTTTAAATTGGCGTTTTTTCGGAGAATATTTTAAATTTTGTGTTTCATTATGTTTTCTTCTCTTCTTTGTTTGTTTTAGAGAATCACGTGGGGAGGGGGTAAGTAGGTGTTGTTTGTAAAATGTTTTGCAAGGGTATGAGTGTTTGGAACTGTGTGACATGGATATGCCTCAGTGGGCGAAGTAAGGATGAAAGGAAGCAGCTGTAGTAGTTGTTAATTTATG